CGAGCATCTGATGAGGCAGAAAGACTGTGTTGCTCCAGCAGAGGGCAGCGACACTCAGGGTTAAAGGCAGAAACACTCAACGGGCCGTGCAGAGCTCTGGAAACATCATACTAACATTTACACAACGTTTGTACAACCTTCACACAACCGTCTGAAACGATGCTCTAAATACTGAGTTTAGCAGGTGTTACACACTTCTTGTTTGTTTTCTATTGTAAGTTCGTTGGTGGAAACATGTTCTATAGTCTGTACTTTTGTTTAGAAGTATGCATTTTTAATGCATATTTTTATCCAAACACCTAACTGCTTTGATTATGTTATTAAAGTTGACATTAGTGGGTGGATGTTATGCAAAAAGAACATTTATAGCTCTTATTTCATCATGGAAAACTAAATTAAAAGCCTAATTTAAAAGGCATGAAATATGCAAATAATATATTTTAGATGATTTAAATAAAATGTTTATTGTACTGATTATTGCAATGCTACAAAAATACTGTTTCGCATTAATGAGAATCATCGCTGGCAATAAAACGCACACATGTATAACAAGTTTGAGGTGAAATATGAGCTGGATTTGTTCCCGTTTAAAATCACTCGCTTAACTCGCAAACAAACATTGTATCAGCTCGCTTTATCTTTTATTGTGTTAAAACGAGATACAAATAAACAGCATTAAATATTGACTGAATGTCTGAAGTATGTTAATGGGATGTCTGTAGGAGAGCTGCACTCGTTTACACCACCACTCCTCGCACCCATCCGGCCTTCATCTTCTCCCTCTTCTTCCTCTCGTGATACTCTGACACCTTCCTGTGAAAGAAGACTGCAGAAGAACAAGAGCGTGAGCACGACGACAGATCAGGAAGAAATCAGTGCAGGCACTCACTGACTGAACTCTGCAGTCTCGTCAAGTCTCTTGTGCAGATTCATTTCGCAGTGTATAAAGCGCTTGATTGATGATAACGAGTTTTCCCGAGCATGCAGAGTGCTTCAGTGACGGGGAACGTTCTTTTTGCTCACTTCACCAATGTGAAGTCTTGATTTCTGCATTGCAAAACGTATAAAATAAATTTTTTTTAATTGCATTTTTGTTCTCACAATTCAGACTTTTCTGAGTTTACGTCTCGTAATTCAGTTTTTTGTTTACGCAACTGAATAAAAAACGAAAAAGGTGATTACGACTTTTTTCAGATGTTTTTTTCTCACAATTGCGACTTTTGTTTTCAGAATTGCGAATAGTATAAAATTCAGAAATGTGCGGAAAAATTTTTTTGGCGAGATAAAAAGTCGCAATCGCCATTATTTTTAATCCCGTGGCAGAAACGAGCTTCTATAAGTGTCCGTTGTATTTCGTAGATTGAAAACGGCTTACGCAAACTGCCGATAGAAAAGCTGTATTAAAACATATTCTTCCCTTAAAACGCGAGTATTTAAATAAAGCGAGTTAAAGAACATCCCAGCTAACAGAAATATGTTCTACGCATGCTTTCCGAACTTTCCAAGTAAGAAAACGTTTAAAAAATATACAGTTTCATGAATATTTGTCAAATGTTTTTGTCTTGGTTATTCAAACGTTAAGGTAACATTATGACAACGTTACGTTGGAATGTTCGGAAACGAGTTGAAACATTTAAAAAAAATGCTGTACGAACGTTCCAACTAGTGTTTCAGAACTGAAATGCTACATGAATGATGTTTTTGTACTAACATTATTAAAAAAACATAACTTTGAACGAAAATTCTATTAATAACGTTACCTGTAAGAACATTTGTTCATAAGTTTGAGAGAACGTTCCCTGTTAAAACACAGTCATATTTCAGGTTCCATTAAGAAAAAGAAAAATCTCCAGAACCATCAGGGGTTTTTAGGTAGATCTGATTGAAGAAGCTTATTTTAGAGTACTGTAAAACATGTCCTGCGTTAGTTTGAGCTTCTTAAACGGATTAGCATGTGTGTTTGTACCGTTAGGGTTGGGCTGCGTTTCCTCTTCCTGAATGAACAGATCGAACATCTGCGTCTGGATGAAGAGCTTGACAAAGTTCAGGTGGGACTTGTGTTCCACGGCCTTCAGGAAGCTCTTCTTCTGGAACTGGCGGCCGTTCGCGCACCTCCTGACGTGCTGCGAGAAGTGACCCACGCTCCTGACGAAGACGGACAGGAAGGCCTCTGACACCAGCCGGTTCAGCTCCTCCGTCGCTGCCAGAACACACAACAACAGGAAGATGAGCGGCGCTGTTACTGGAAGCGGGCCGTTGGCGCGGGAAGACTGAACTCACAGGCGTGGCGTGTGCGCGTGGACAGCCGCGACAGCAGCTCCTCCTTCAGCTTAGCGGGCAGGAGAGACTCCTCGTCTCCAATCTGAAATCACACCATCATGATTGGGAGTTTAGGACGTTGCTATGCGGTTGCTAGGGTAGTTACTGATTACATGTAATCCGGATTATGGAATATATTTTCTTTCTCTTTGCTTTTTTATATCTATATGGTAAATTGAAAACAAGTAAGATAAAAAAAAAAGTCGTCGGGATACATTAGCTAAAATAAGTAACCTAGATTACGTTACTGACTGTAGTGCAGTAGTGTGGGTGAATGAGACGACGAACAAACAGCGTCTCAAAGAGAGTAAATTAAATCAGAGAAACTGTGTGTGTGTGTGTGTGCGACTCACTCTCGTGATGAATTTAGTTTCTGCTCCGGGCGACAGATCGACAATCATCAGCTGAGAGACACAGACAGAGAATCATCAGCATGTTCGATAAACACTGATTCGTCATTAATAATGATCATATTCAGACTGTAGGAATGTGTGATGTTTGTGAGTGAGTGAGTGTGTGTGTGTGTGTGTGTGTGTGTGTGTGTGTGTGTGTGTGTGTGTGTGTGAGTGTGTGTGTGTGTGTGTGCGTGCATCTGTGAGTGTGTGTGTGTGTGAGTGTGTCTCTGTGAGTGTGTGTGTGTGAGAGAGAAAGAGTGTGTGTGTGTGTGTATGTGAGTGCATGAGTGTGTGTCTGTGTGTGTGTGAGAGTGTGTGTCTGTGAGTGTGTGTGTGTGAGAGAGTGTGTGTGTGTGTGCGTGCATCCGTGAGTGTGTGTGTGAGTGTGTCTCTGTGAGAGTGTGTGCGTGTGTGTGTGCGTGAGTGTGTGTGTGTGCGTGCGTCCGTGAGTGTGTGAGTGTGTGTGTCTCGCTCTTCTGGACTCCCAGCAGGTACGGTGTTGGCGCTGCACAAACATCAATCAGAACCGTAGGAACGATTGATATGAACGTGTGCTGCCACACAAACGGATTCAAGAGAGCAGCTACAGCGTGAAGGACCTGCGACAGAGTGCTGAACACACACACATTAACACATTCATAGTGGTCAAAAAATTGCTTTCCATTATGAATATTTTCTTTATTTTTAATCATTATAATTAATAAATACTATAAAATGTGCAAAAAAAAATTTTATTTTATTGAATATTCATATAAAATATTTTTATGTACATTACTATTTCTTTATTTTATTATGAATATCTTATTACTTTTAATAGTTCTAAAATGTATTTAATAATTGTAAATATTACAATAAAAGTATTTAACATTATATGATTAATATTGTAATTGTAAAATAAAAACATTCTTTAAAAAATATTTTTAATTATAAAAAATAAGATAATTAATTATCAATATAATAATATTTTTTTAATATTTTCATTTTTATGTAATAAATATTAGTCAATATTTTTATTTTTTAAACGCTTAATATTTAAAAAAATTCTAACATGTATATTTTATATTTAAATTATATTACTAAGTATAAATTGTCTAATGAATAATTTAAAACATTTTATTAATTTAATTTCATTTTATATCAAGTTTTATTTTAATAATTTTAACTTCTATCAAATATTTAAAATAATGTAAAATTTTGTACGTTTTACATTAATTTGTTTTTACATTCAAAAGTACAATATTAAATATTACATTTTACATAAAATTACTATTTTTAGAATTTCATATTTTTAACATGAATATTTTATCATATTGAATAATTTTTAGCTAGATAAAATAATTATTCGATAAATATTATGAATAATTATTCATATAGTAAATATTACATTCAATATTTTTTCTTTTTAAGATTTTATTATATTTTTTTATCAGCATTAAATATTCTAACATGAATATTTCATATTTAATAGTTATTGATTATTCAAAACAATTATAAAAAAAGTAATGATTTCTTTAAAACATATTTATGCTTTAAGTTTTTATATTTTCCTTATAATTTCTAAATACTACAGAATATTGAATAAATGTGTATGATATATATTAAATATTATATTTATTAATATTCTATTATGAAATAATATAAAAAAATTTCAGCTTAAATATTATTTTTAATCACTATAATTATTAAATACTACATTTAATAAAATATATTAAATATGTATTAAATGTTACATATTTAATATTTAATTTGTTTAAAGTTTATTATTTTTTAAATATTACACTATGAATACTTGATGTTTAATGATGATTCATTATTATGCTAAGTATAAATATTAATAAGTGACCCCTCTGAAGTGCTGTAAATCTGCGTCTGCGCTGGTCACCTGAGCTCCTCAGAGATGAAGATGATCCGTCGCTCCGTGACGGTGGCGGCGAACACCATCAGCACCTCCTCGTCGCTCAGGCAGCGGAAGAGCGTGTGGAAGTCCACGTGTTCGAGCCAGGACTCTGCGGGCCGCGTCAGACTGATGATCTGAGAGCAGAGGCGTTATCTGTAGCGCTGCTGAGCCGCAAGCCTTTGCACAGAAGTCAGACTGAAACGCACCTCGGTCCCGGCGTCCGGGATGAAGCTGCTGATGGTGACGGTGTTTCCGGGCGAGGGCAGCGGAGCCTCCCGCAGGCTCTGCATGAACGGATAGATCATGGCTTTGGAGATCTGCCTGCGCTTCTCCACCTCATCAAAGATCTGCACAAACACACACGGGAGTCAGTGCCGACCCGTCTGAGGAGTGTGTGAGTGAGTGAGTGAGTGAGTGCGAGTGAGTGCGAGTGTGTGTGTGTGCGTGTCTGCGTGCGTGTGTGAGTGAGAGTGTGTGTGAGTGTGTGCGTGCGAGTGCGTGTGTGTGTGTGTGTGTGTGAGTGAGTGAGTGTGTGTGTGTGTGTGTGTG